TATCCGAGGTAACTAAGTTTTGACTGTGTTATACGACGAAAATTAATGAATTATCCAAATTAACACCAATTTAATTTCTACTCAGCCAATTGAAACTTTAACTCAGCTAATTCGAGTATTTTTAATTACTTTTTTGAACTGATTGATGTAATATTTCATGCTTCACTAACATAAACAAAAACTTCGATATTGGTTGCATATTCTCTTAGGACCTTAAACTCAGTGTTTTGTGATCCATGTTCAAGACCACACTGTTATTAGTATCGATGTGTATGTTCTCGGCGGTTGGCGAAGGGAAGCATTGACAATGTGTGGCAATTGAATGTATGATGTCACATAATGACTGCTTCTTATTGAGTACAGAATCCTTCTAGGGGCCATTTGCAGATTTTTAAAAAAAATAGCTATACTTTACTGATACGCACCTTTCCATGAATGTGGAACTATTACCCAGTGACTCAAAAGTCTTATGAATAAAAACCAATAAAACAAAAAGAGTTAATACGAATTTTTAAAATGCATTTAAAAACTGCAGTATATGTAATTTAACATTGAGTTTATGTATTTCATCATTTGTTACTCTAACGCATAACTCTACTTCCAATAAAACTATAAATTTTGCACACTACGCTTATTATAAATGTACACTGCAATAAGATGTATATATATAGACTAAAAAAACTTCTATAGAAACTTCTCTGAGATTGAATTTTTGCTATGACTACGTAAATTATATTCATAAACGATACTACCACTGATACTCAAATTACTGTCCGTAACTGAGGTCTCATTATTCTCCAAGTTTACCTGTTTAATTGGAGGAGATATTGAACTACAGCTCGATCCTACTAAGCCCGTATTTGGTATTGCTTCGCATTGTTTCCAGATGCTTTTATGTTCTGGCTGTGATATGGCAAAAATTATTCACATATCTTTTTATTATTATCTTTATTACTAATTTATAAATTTCATAAAAATCAATTACATTACTTCCTCATTTGATTTGTGAAACAATTTTCAGAATAATTACATAACTGTTTTGACTCAAAAATGTACTATATATCAATCCAATCTTTATGATAAAATTATCAAGAAAGTTTTACCAAAATCTGTTTCTGATGTTTAAAAGCCGACGTTTTTTAAAACTTTTCAACTGATTTGACTGAACTTTTTTGTCCTCTTGTCGTACATAATTAACTGTCTATGTGGACACAATAAAATCCTTTATAAAGTAAATGTAGTACTACTTCTAAACAATTATAAAGTAACGCTGCCTCCTATCAAATATTAATAAATGTGGAAAAAACAAATGAGAGATAAATAAATGTGGAAATGAGATGTGAATATGAATAGAGCTATTTCCATCGGATCATTGCAATTACTTGCATTTCCAGAGTTATCACAGTTATCATCGTTTATCACCGTGGCAACTACAATATGGCCAGACAGAATGTACTAGTATTGTAACATTTTTTCAACACACACACTGTGAAGAACCCATTGCTTTAACTAAAGTAATTAGTTTAATGTCTGCTCACCGATCCTTAAGACACTTGCCCTAAATAAAATGCTAACACAATTCTGAGACGAACACCCACCGCTTTCAAAAACCTTTGACTTCAAAACAAATAGAGAGGACATGCATCTCTAAATCCATGACGTTCCTAGACGTTCTGAAATAAAGGCAAAAAAATTTTTTTATGGAAGAGATTTTAAATAGTGGTAAAATATAACAAGAAAATTTAATTTTTATTTTATAGAATTTTTTCCGGTTAACCAAATACTCGTATTTATCAATTGTTTTTGAAAATATTTGTTAGGTTTATAAGTCCGGGTAAAATTCTTAAACTACAAGTACTAGACTCAGAATTTTGAACCTCTCAAATTAGACCATCTACTCATTCCAAATATATCTGCACTAAACTTTCGTTCTTCAAATTTTATATTTCAATTTCTAAATTTAATAAAATTTCTAAACTGATAATTGGGCGACTATAGTATCGTTACGACCCACAATATCTCTCTGCTCCGTGTACATCGCTTGTTCTTGGGTTCTGAGATTCAGACGAATTCGCTTCTATATGCACACAATTATCACTGAAGAACTATGCTGACATCAATATGCTTATCAAGAACGCATACAACGATTTTAAAATAAAAACAGAAATAACTAATGACAAAGACAGCTCTAGTTTTATAGAAACGATTCTGAGTAATGATGGAGTCACTAATGGGCCATTGTTGCTTAAGCTCCGTAAGCAAATATTTTCTGATTAGACGCAGAACTAGGAATAGCCAGTAAGAGTTATTGCCGGTACGAATCAACAGTCGTTTTTAATTTCTTTGCCATCATATATGGCAAATTTATGAAATATTGTTGTATCGATTCTTGTAGATATGTAGTTAAACCTCAGTTTTCCAAAAAGGACACACTTTTTCAAAAATACATTAATTATGCATAATCTAAGCTGCAAGTGTGCAGTTCTTTAGTTCTTGATTAAGACCAATTTTAACTAACTATTATTTAAAATTTCTAGCTTCTATCTTTCGGAGTATAATGGCTTAGAAATTTGAAATTTGTTTTTCTTTCTTTACAGTTCTAGTTCTTTTATATGTTGTCAGCATATTAATGCATTTTTATGATGTTAATCGTGCAGTGGGAAGGACTATACTCTGACCTTGTTGCTATTGCTATTGGAATTGGTGATAGGAACTTTCAACCAAAATCGGTTGATGGATAGAACTTAGAAAAACAACTTAACAAATATAACAGAAAATCTGAAAAAGCACAATGGGTTGAATTATCTACTTTTGTAGAAAAGAGAAAGACATTAGAAAACAGATACTGGAAGTTTACTAAGCTAGCTAAGTTAGTATCTTATATACGATGAAAAAATTAGTGTCGTTAAAGTGGGTTCGATAGCACAATTTATAAAAAAAATTTAATTCAGACAATTGTTCTGAATACATAAAAGGACATAAAAGATCTTTAGGTTGGAATGTAAAATCTTCCCATTTCAATAATAACATACACATAATTAGACATAATTAGACATAATTATTTCAAGAATATGAGAAATAATTTAAAAGAGTTATAACAGTTATTTAACTTTATTTCATTACTTCATTTTTATTTCTGCTCTTTTAAATTTTAAAGTCTCTCTCTCAGTTGATTCAGTAAAAATATTGTTCCATTGAAACCGAAGAAAAATAAATCATTAAAAATTGTTTAAAACCTCTTCCATATTTTAAGTAAAAGTTTTATACAGGAAAAATGTGATACAAAAAAAGCAAAATGAAAGCTGGAAAATGACAATTTATTAATCGTACTATTTGCAAAAGACTATATGGGATTACATCTATATGGATTCAAGTATTGCACAAGAAGCATGCATATGGCAAACTAGAGTCATCGATTGCTGTCACACATACAGGCAAGCGTATGGGTGTCGCATTCTCCCACAGATATGTGAGGTACGCCTAAGCATCTTAGTAATTCATTTATCAGTGCCGTAACATTGGCATAGAATGTGGCTTAAAACAATGGAAGTGCCTGACGACAAGCTAGCTGGCAGTAGTATTCCATGCACGACTGCTATTCCATTATGCTGTTATACAACAGAATCGATATGAATACACAAGATGGCAGCAGCAAGCAAACAAACGCCAATGTTGCATGTGTGGGAGTCCATTTCGATTCTGTATATATAGTCAACAATGATTTGTGTTTATGTACAATGTACATAGCGAATTTGTACATAATAGCATTATATATATATAAAACTAAATTGCCTTAGATACAAAGCATTAACGTTATGCCAAAACTTTGAGACTCCTCCCGTGCGTACTTATGATTGGTCGCTTTTAGCAAGTGCCCACACTTTATTCAGCTATTCAAACCACCCAAGAAAAACAACAACAAAAATGCGGATACATTGCCTTATATTTTAACGGAAAGAACTACCCTTATGTTCTCTCTAAAACAGCAGTTAGGCATTCCTTGGCATTAATATGTAGTGAAAGCTTAACAAATGCCTGCGCATTTCATGGCATCGAAAGCTTTTCACCACACCATACCGCGCTCTCTTTTCGCATTTGTGGTGCGAAAGGGAAAGCCAGCATAATTTATGTTCAACTGACTCATCGTCAGTGACATGATTGTGGTCCACTTGCTATATTCCAGTCTTAGCATGACAGAAAGGATGCCAATGCTAGTTATTCGCGTGTAGTCCTGCTGTGTGGTGTAAACGGTTCAAACGGACCTTACTGTACCTTGTTACTTTTTCCTCAAATTGTGATTGTGTTTCTCAGTGGTAAATTTGAAAAAAAACTTCTAAATAATAATATTTAAAATGTTAAATAACTTATTATATAAATAATAATGTAAATTAAATAAATACCTATAAATGATTTACTATGACTATAAAATTGGTCATTTAATAAGTGATCTATTTTGAATAACAAAAATCCATATAACAAAAGACCATTTCTACGGGAAATAAGAAAGCGGGCCTAGTACTGAATCTGGAAATGGCATATATTGACATTTCCAGTCTCAAACATTAGTCCTGCCTTCCAGTGTACGTAAAAGACTGCAAGACTATTGATGGGGGTTAAAGGTTCTCTGTAGAGACCCACATTAGCAGTAGGTTGCAGTATTGTAGACTTTAGAGCAGGATAGACTATGTTACACGATTCTTCTAAACCAACTGCCTCCCACCATCTAATTAAATTTCTGTGTACAGATAAACTATGCGATCTCTACTGCTTAGCGATGCTTGCCAATGTATGACATAGCTCATACGGTCTTCAGACAGAGTTCCATTCAGGTCGCTAGTACAGCAGTCAACTCTGTCTGAATGTTGTTGCAAACGCTGCTAATAACTTTTTAATTAGTTTTTCTTTCCCGTATAATTTAAGACGTTTATTTTTTATTTAAAATTTTTTTATTTACTTTAATTTTTTTTGTGAAGTGCGCGATTGTGCAGAGAATTCGGGTACAAAACAGTTCACTTGGCTATAACGTCTCTACGTTCAGCCTAGCCGAATTATGACGTGATTTATCTTTCATCGAGAGAAACATTATTGAACATTTCATGTAATCTGTGTACCTTTTTTGTGATAATTAAATATATATATAGCTATATACACACATAGTTAAATAACATAAAAAAACGAATATTTACTTAATCTTAAAATACTTTCGTCCTCAAACTTGTGGATTTTTACTAACCGCTGGATTACATTATCAGTTGCAGAGCACCTAAAGGAATAACTTGCAAAAGAATATTTTTTTGGAGAGCAGTAAGTAATCAAAAATATCTACTTACTTACCACTTAGAATTCAGTAATACTTTGCTCTGGAATATGTTTGCATTTTATAACAAATTATAAATTTTTAAATTAATTATAAATTATAAATAAATAAATTATAGATTATTTATCAAATGCAAATAATAAATTACTTGCATTTTGCAAACATATATTTAACAAACTGTAAAAAGCTATTTACTCTCTTCCATAATATAATACATTATATAGTATTCCCTATTTACTCTCTTTCTTGCCCACGATACGCAGCACAAGGTTGTCAAGATAGTGAAAAACATGAGCCTCACATTAACCTAATTTTGCTATCAGTAATAGGTGTTACTTTCAAAAGTTCTCGGAAAGTTTCTGTTTTCTCTTTCTAGAGTAGAAATGACTGAGAAGGGAATTGTTGAAATTCCTACAGTATATATTCTAGACAAACTTTTATTTAAAAAATTTTTTAAATAGGATTATTAAAAATTTTTAAATAAAGAGAAAACGTAGAAAAACTGTTTGAATGAATAATTTCAGAAATTTCTTTGAAATAGGTTCTTAGTTTGGATCTTATAGTCTAGGGGATGTAAAGTAAAATTTTAAAAAATATTGTATAATTTTTAATACTTATGGCAGGAAAAAAAAATCAAGAAAATTTTCTTACCTAAAATAGAAGGAGTGTAATGGATGAGAGATAATACAATAAATTCTATTTGAATTGTAAAACTTAAAAAGTCTATGTCAGTTTCTATGGTTTTTCAATTATTTACACATATGAAATTATGTACATTTTTTATACATAAATGTATTTATTCATATAATATAATGATTCTAAATGCAACAAAAACATATCACCAATCAATAAAAATTTATTTTATTTTTTAAATTATAATTAAGAATTTTTTTTATATAAAATATACATATAGAATTATATACGTAAAATCTCTTAATTCTTTTATTCAAATGTTTTTCATCAAAATTTATAAATGAAAAGTGATTTAACTTTTAATTTCGCGAATTTAGTGCTGTAAGTTAGCACAGTGTATTTTCAATTCCTTTTTACTTTTTATTTTCACGTCGTTTCAGTAGTGTTTCAGTAGTGCTGGCTCTTTGACACGTCATATGCGATGCCATTTTCAAAGTAAATCCTCTTAAAAATGTATTTATTATCTTTTAATAGTTTATTATTCTATCTATTATATATCTACAAGTCCTGATTTTTTTAATACAAAAATATTTTTTGAACACACTTTTTTCGAAATAAATTTATGTTATATAATTGTGTTTAAGTTATAATTTATTTCCCAAAATATGTAATATTAAACTCAAATTTTTTTTTATCAGTGAGATATTGTCATATTATATATTATGTTAAAATGTGTAGTCCTCATATATAGCTTCAATAGTTTTTTTTTTCAATTTCTACGAAAATCAACATTGGCAAATGTGTAATCTATACCTTCCACGCAGATGAATTGGAACTATTTCCTACTGGCTGGTTCGCTTTAAAACTTACTACATCATATATTATCATATATGACATCATATATTATATTACTACTACAATAATATATCCCAGGCTTTGATCGATAAAAATATTCAATTTTGAGAATTTCGTCTATAATGTTTGATTTAATTTTAAAAGATGCATTCTAAGATGTTTCTGTTATGAAATATCGAGTATTTCGAAAATAAAATATTAAATCCATTACAGGCGTAAGTCGTCTTTACCCGCGGTCAGTAGCCTATGTCAGATAGTCTGATTAGTGGCTTGCTGTCGCTCTTTCACCAGTGGTTACCGAATCAAACACCTTTAAAGTTGATTTTATATAACAGCAAATATTTTTCTCCGGAATTTTATTTTTAGGCAAGCAAACATTAGGTAGTCGCTGCGACTCACAAAAATAGACTTTTATTTACACATAAATTAATTAACTCTTCTTTAATTTAAATTTTTTGCAGACAAAATAAAAATAAAATATATCAATGATTTCTGGAAAGTTGGTTAAATCATTTATTAATTAGTTAGTTTAAGTAGTCTTTAAGTGATTGATATTAGTCACGTAAGTGATTTATTAGATTGAAATAATTGTCACTTTAGTGTAAAATCCACAGTTAAGAATCCATTGAAAAAGTTGAATGTTTTGAATAGAGTTTTAAAGAAACTATCTAAAATAGTCCCATTGAGTTCTCATAGATGTTCTTATAAACAACGCAGTGGGTCTAAGTTTTATAAATACCTACTTACAGCTCAATTTTTGCCCACACATATAAACTTTAGTCTACGGAAACAAAACAGAACCAAAAAGAACAAATAATCACTCGAATGTGCAGTGTAAGAGGGATCCATGAATTTTGAATATAGTGATCACTGACCCACGATTTTTGATCCACTGAATTGTCTAGATGAAATAAAATAATTGATTCTAAAACTTAAGATGTTCATTAATCTGTCCAGTTATTGTTGAACCCTTTTCAATATTTTAAATCAACAGCCTGTTTAAGTCTTTCCAGATCGTCTGGTGGTCGTCTGGAGTAAAATCATATTTTTCAATCTGTTTAAAACTTTCTCATATTGTTTTAATTACTTCTAGATGCTTGAAATTTAATTATAGATATATGTTTCCTAAATAATGCAGCAGGTCCTTGTTTTGTTTATACCGTAAAGCGTTAAAATTGTTCAAGCGATTGAGTTGTTGTTCTAAACTGGCAAATACGATAACCTAGTCACAGATAGCTTTTTTATACCTATAACTTCATGCAATATTTTTCAATACTTTGCAATATTTTTCAAAACTTTCTTATTCTTATTTAACGATCCTCTTTTTTTTGTCCGCCACAGAAGTTTTTGACTATCCAGAACAATATTCATAAGCTTTGCTGTCATGACTTATTCGGTATCACCTGTTTACTATTGCTTATATTACTGCAGAGCCCTCATAGTGTACCTCTAATTTAACGAATTTCAATTGTATCGACATATTATTTTCTATTAAAATTCTTTATTTCCCCATGTATTTAACAAATAAAATAATATTAAAACTAAGTTTGATTAAAAACTCAACTGATAATTCAACTGATTTCTAAGCGACAACAGATATCTCTTCAGAAAAGGTTAATCTTTACAATTGCAGCAAAAATCATTAAGAAAAAGAGAGAAAGTAATCCATCACCAAGCCCTTTTATCAAACTGACATCTCTGCGGGTATCTAAAGATAGCTATTTTTTTTTTCTTATTCAGAATGAATCAATTATTATACAAATATTAGCATATTATTGCATCCTTACATCTTGTATTTAATTGCATAATATATATATCTGTCGGGAATTGTTTTCCTGATGCTTATGGTATACCCAGATCATTCAGTTATTTAAAATGTGTACCTAAAGTATCCTGTTCAGATAGGCCATCTGTTTTATAATTGTCTGTAATATACCTATCGCCTATGGTATACTTGTGAAATCTGAGGTGAACAATATTACACAACGTTCAATTTTAATTTGGAGACAAGTATCTATCGTAACCTTAACTTAAGGACTTCAAAGACTCACTGTCTGATAGTTTAGTTTTGATTGCTTAAACCATTTAAAAAATTGTTCATGGAGTGATTTCGCAAAGCAGGTAAATAAGATTTTAAATTTAAAACGGAAAATGACCTACCCCTGTTTTTACATACAGATGAATTGTAATGTGGATTAAAATCACATAAAATATTTTAGTGAAAATTTTAATTATCGGGTTTAATATCAAATAACGAATACAGTTGATTGATATGTGTTCCTGAGGTATCTCATCTAACTGGGTTAGGTTAGGTTATACCGGCTATCCCTGCTGGATTCACTTAGGCCTATTGGCCCATTGTGTTACCGCATATGTAGGAAAAACTTAGGGTTTAAAACCACCTAGAGCCTTTGGTGAAGCCTAAAATGCTGTTTAGGTCGTATGCGAGTTCGAGTAAATTGATGGTAACTTGAGGGAAATAGTAAATTATGTCGGTATAGTGGCGAATGTTGGTATTTACCAGAATTTTGAGTAGGGTAAATTAGATAAAAATTAGATAAATTAGGTATTACCATTGTGAAAATTTTATAAGATGTTTAATAAATAAATAAATAAATTTGAAAACTTTTAACCGAAAATTATAAATAAGTGCAATAAATAAATAAATAAATAAGTAAATAAATTTTTACATAAGTGCAGTGCAAAAAATCCCTGGGAAATTTTAATTTACTTTATCTCAATTTACTCAAACTCGCTCACGGCCTTAGTGTCAGATCTAGTAATTGATCAAAATCCTCAGAAAAACGGGATCTTAATGTGAAGAGTCGCCGGCCTGCATGAGCTGGACTAGCTGCGTTATCTACTTTTAAATTGTCTGCGATATATACATATATAGCCGAAAAATTAGAGATGAGATGAGAGATGAGAAAAATATTAAACAATAAGATGTCAATCTTGTTCGAAGACCCGTAGCTGTCACATTCCGTCATAGATGTAATTTTAACCCACATTTCAATCAATCTGTGGGTGAAATCGGAGGAAGTTAATTTTCCGTTTTAGATAAATACTTTCAGTTTCTTCCTTCGCGAAATCACTCCATCAAAATTTTTTCACAAAATCTGATATCCACACTCCCTGCTTGGTCTATTTTCTCATAACTCATCATTTTCTGTTGATGATAAAAACTGTTATAAACTTAATCCGCTTATATATTTGAATTGCGGAATATGAAAATAAAATTTTTCCAAATATACGAGTATAACAAAAATAATAACAATAATAATAAGAACAAGCATTTTCTTATCAGCATTGAAACACACTTGAATAAGCAGAATTTTATTGCAATTTATATTTGTTTTTTCCTTGCTATTTTTACAGAAAAGTCAAATATTCCCGACCCACGATCCACAAGTCACTAAAGCAACAACGATAGAAACTATAGCCATGGCAGTGAAAGCGGCAGCAGCAGCGACAGCAACAACAACAAAAATTATGCAAAGAAATAAAAAAGTTGCTAAATAAAAAAAAAAACAAAAATCAATTGACTTGGCAGAAATAAAAATAAATACAACAATAAAAACACTAAACACACTCAAAGCCAAGACAGTGCCCTGTATAGTTGGGAATTAGCGCCGTGGGGGGTGCGACGCTTTTTATCAACAACCCAAAATTTGTTGCGTGGATTTTGAAATTTAGTTGGCAATGCATAAAAATTATAGGCGGATCTAGATACTCCGTGTGAAGTTGAGATTAGAACAACAGCAATAAAGAACAGCGAAGTTTACTGCAATCCCCGAAATATGCATAGTTTAAGGAAGTGACAGAGTGGTTGGAGGTGTGAAGTTATAATCTAGTGAAGCAAAGTAAAGAAAGCAGTTTTTCTCACAGATTCCAAAAGTAAGCACACGTAAGCACAAGTACAAAACAAAAACGAAAAAAAACAACAATTGAAAATAAGGTAGCAAAAGCGCGTTTAGCAACAACAACAACTTGCACGTACATACTGTCCGAATAAAGTTTCAATAAAGTACCGTACTAACAACAACAACCACAACAATAATAACAGTAAGACTAAAAAACGTATCCGTAGGCGCAGCATCAATATCTGTTAGCAGAAATTATGAAGGGCTTGACTGCGTTTAAAGAGAAGGCAACGGGCGTTTTTGGTGGGTAAGTTAAACAGAGTTGGTATATCATAAATTATATTAAGCTTATAACGTATTACAACAAAAATATTAAGGATCATAATAAAAAAAGAACACAACAACAACAACAAGATCCATAGCAATGGTAATGATATTGTAATAATAATTGCAACAACAAAATAGAACGACGCTCAAAAATTTAATTTAACGGACCAATGCATTGGCTGGACACATACACACATAAAAATTCATGCACGCACACAAACGAAGCAGCAAGCCACGCATTGCATCGCTCGCTTGCAGTTTGTGTGTAGGTGTGTACGGTGTGTTAGGTGTGGGAGTGCGGTTGAGGGTGAGAATGGGTATGGAAGTAAAAGTGTACAAGTCGTTGAATGTTGAGAATGAGTGGGAGCTATTCTTGATTTTTTTATGCTCGTTTTGGAGTGCGAAAAAATGATTTTTATTTGTCATGGTTAATAAATAAATTCAAAACACCAAAAATTTTAAAAATGTCATAGTTGGAGCTTAACTATGCTTTTTGGGAAGCAAAAATGGACTTTATATATATTTATATCCTTTTATAATTAAATGCCAAAAAGAGCTACGACTGCACAAGGACCCTGTACTGGGTTGGTACCTAATAAGTCTATAATATTATGAATTTCCTATTTCAGAGTTTCTTTGAGTTTTCAGAGTATTGTCTCCCTACAGTGACTTACATCAGTGTAGCAAAGATCCAATATATTTGAGTGAAATCTCAGCTTATAGTGGACCTGTGAAAAACCTTGTTTGATATTCCATTAGCTGAGAAGAGAAATTGTTTTGCTTGTTATTAAGTCAGTGGTGTGCAAACTCCTTTTCCTCCCTTTTTTTATTAACTTCTTTATAGTTGTCCCTTTTTAATTTCGCAGTAAGACTCAGAATCTATTAAGGACATGTTTGTTCTTCTTTTAGCTGGTCATTCAGTGACTTCAGTACCATCATGTCTTTCATAACGTGAAAATCAACATAATTCTCTTGTTCTAAAATTTCTTAAAATTCCATTTTCGAGGTAATCATTACAAACTTAATAAAGCGTACTTAGTATCGCATTACCATTTGATAGTTTTCAAACAAATTCTTACCTACTTTGCAATAAAGGTCTGTTATAGAACATGCCTATGATTTTGATTGCCCTGCAGTTTATATAAGTCTTAGTTTTCACTATATATTTTGTTTGTATTCATTCCAATTATAAAGACTTTATCTTCAATTTGTTCAGCTAAGATGTACAACACACTTCCTTAATCTGTCCAATGTTGATTTGTTGACCACCTTCCCTATTAGTTCATGGAATACCGACATTAAAATGTGGAAAAACTAGTTTTAAGCTGGATTTTACATGAACCTTACTCTTGCGAATCAAAATATCTCAATGGCTTCATATTATTCGGAGTCATAGTCGCGGAAATAATATGTAAAAATTGTTCTAATTTCATAGCAGAAATGGGTTTCTGAAAAAACTCAAGAGTTGTGATATGTTATAAAGTATGCTAAATATAGGTTTAACTATGGTTTTGTAATATTAGATAAAAAGAATATTGCATAGTGAAAAGAAATAGAGAAGTAAAAAGTGATTAAGAATGGCAGGCAGTTACAGCACATATATCACCTTCACTGTATGGTTAGTTGTGAAACCCATAAGAAGAAAGAAAATATCTCCAATGTTAATATTACAATATTTTTCTTGTCTGTGCATCAGTTCTTAAAGATAAAGAATATCTCAATTACAAGGGATTGAAATCTGATAACCCTGACGATTATCGTGGCTTGTCATTATAACAGTACCGATTATTATCATCTGTACTTCATCTTAAGATTGTCAAAGATTTTTGAATTATTTTTTTTTTAGAAATGTTAAGCTGTTATAGATTATTCACTTAGAGCCGCATATGAAAATTGATCTCACAAAAGTATAAAAATATTTATTTTTTTTAAAGTTAGTCCGTTTTTAAATAAATTAAGTTAATCACAGAAGCTTGTTTATCTTCTCTTACGCAGTAAGGTGGTGAAACCTTTCATCAGTTATTTTAAGCCAAAAAAGATTTGACTTATTGAGTCAAAGGATATTGTAAGGTTCAACAAAAGCCTTAATATGTGCTTATGATTGCTTGAAAGACTTGCTCCTGAAATGGCACAATTCATGTCCTAGATAAATGTGTGTTATCGCTCCTTCAAATGATATCAACAATGAAAACAGAAATTATGGTACGAGTATCATTAAGACAAGTATTATTATTAATAACCAGTAGTAAAGTAGTAAAGCTTTAACTTTAAATTTTTGTAACTATTCTGTCGTTTTTCTCACACAAGTTGAAGCAAATTCAAAGTACAACTTTTGGTCAATGTCGATGTCTACGGATTTGTGTGTAAAAGTTAAAGACGATGTCTCGTCATTCGGTTAAGAAGTATAAAACTAAGTCTGGTAGGATTAAGCGAAGTACGTTTTGCCTGCGTTATGGCATCTTGCGGAATTTCTTTTAGACAAGAATAGACTACAAGAATGCATTCAGAAAACAAAATGAAGCACTCAACATGTGAGTTTGAGAGGGGAGTAAAACAGGAAAGTTGTAAAATTATTGGCATGCTTAACAAGTCATTAAAGACGATAAGTCGTACCAACATCGACACTACCGCAGAACAAACGAACACCACAACGGCTGCAATGCAACAAGGCAGCAAAAAGTGGAGTTCAGCTTTATATTCCACGCTTTCCTGAGGACGTACGCCTTGGCATCTCTGTGTTAAAGACAAAAGTCCTTTCATTGTGTTTCATGCAAAAATGGAAGTGAAACAACAACAATAGCAGCAGAAGTAATAATAAAAAATGTCTAAGCAGTTTGTTAGGTGGGAACGCACTTATGCCTTAGGAATGCGTTAGGAATTCCTTGCACGTTCCATGCACGTGTGCCGAAGGAAACGGTTATGAAGTGCCGTTTTATTTGCTGCTTCACATAAACAAAAGCATTCATTTGCACATAGTGCTAGTACTCGAGTTTGTGTGTAGGGTGACCAAGGTTGGAGTACGAAGTTACTTAGTGAGCAGTGCTCTTTAAGAGCTGTATTAATATCCACCACTGCCTTAACTGTTGGTATTTGTACACCAACTGACAGCTGCAAGGGTATTGGTTCCGTCTTCCTCACAGTTTATGCGTTTACAGTTCTTGCACTGTTTTCAAAATATATGACGAACTCGTCTCCATCTCCTAGTTGCTGCGACAAAGAATTAAAGGTGTTGCTCTCTCCTTCCTTCATTTATTCCAACTACTTTGATTGTCTTCATTACTTTCGCCTAAATGTAGGACACAAACCCAGTACATGAAATTGTTTTGAAATAATTGATATGTTTACGACGACTGTGGAGTAGGTCGCTGCTGTCAGTGGAACGTGAGTCAATGTGTTTTGCATGGTTTGGAGCATCGTCACATAAGACATCGGAATTCATTTCATATAAAACAATAGAAATTGTTTTGTGGGAAATTGATTTGACACAAAAGCATCATTCGATGAATGAAAGACAGACTGTTTTTGGAAGATAGGCATTGATTGCCTTTTCTATTTCATATTTCTGTGAAGTGATGGAAGTGCTGCAGGTAGTTACTCCTGTAACGTAATCAATTTAAAGGTGTTGTCATGCTCTTTAATAAATTGTTCAGAAGTTATGCCAATAAAATTGATATCAAATTAATTTAAAACTCATTGTACGTGACTGTAAGAATAATTTTTACATTTGTGGATTCTTCACAAAATATAATTATATTAAGGGTAAAGAATAGAAGGGGAGGTTTTGGGGAAAGTTTTGAAAGAATATTGCTTATATATGGTAAAAGTAAAAATGGAAATCAAGTAATTATTGAGAGGAAGATAATATTAGATAAAAGTAATATGAAAGTAATGGATTAGTTCTTAACTAAAGCGATGCTTTACTTGAAATCCGAAATAAATGTACCTTAAACTCTCCGCGTACTAACACAATTTTTAAATATTTTCTGCAGATATCCTACTGTTATTTTTTTTATTATTATAAGAAGAGAGGATTTTATATCGCAATCTTTGAGATCTGTGCCTCTGCCTAAAGGAAAAAAAATTTCCGTGGTTAACCCAGATATATTCAAGCTATTCATAAACATAACAATATCTTTGTTTCAAGATCCCAGTGCTCATTTCGTGAAAAAAAATGATGTGATAGTATTGTATATGCTTATCACAGTACGGCACCGAAGAAAACTCGTCATTTTACTCTGAGTTTGACATAATCCGCATTTAGCATTGTCTCTTAGTCTTACCTTTGAAGTATGGTGGTTGACTTCCCCACATCCAGGTTAAAACAAATAGAGGTTAGTCTGAGTCCAAATCTATTTAGCCTTAAACACTTGCCATTGTCTTACTGACTAAAAAAACATCGTTAATTCTGTTGTAGTCTAAAGTTCTAAATTATATCTATGAAAAGAAAAGCTGTGCATCTGCTTATACAAAAAAGGTTTCTCTGTGTTAAAATAATATATATGGTAGGTATAATATGTCCAGTAAATTTGTTATGAATGTTAAAAAATCTGTTTTATTTTATCTTATTTCCGGAAAAATTGCTCCCCGGAAAAATTGGCAAAGTGGAACTTGAGACTTAATTTCAATCGATATTTTTTTACGCTAATTATAAGTTGTAGATTTATATATAGTTAAATATTCTTCACCATGAGGTTACTGGAAAAATTTTTTCCCTATCACATCTATATACATATATATATATTCTGAAAGACGGGTTTGTTAATATTACCGCTTTATTTACTTGTTATTTAATTCAGTCCAATTTGAAATGTTAATCAAAATATGTATTAACGCATCATTGTAAGTTTCAGTTGTCAGTTGTCAGGTGGTTTACTTCTTCTTGGTTGGGTTATCAATCTGTAACTTGCTAATCATCACCTTTGTGGTATGTAACCATTCTTTGAATATGGCCCTACGGAGTGCTTTTTTAGAGTCCTTGAC